ATTGCAAGATATTGTAAGGCGTCCTTTGGTGTCTTGAAAGGCGCCATGAAATAAAAATATTTATTATTATTGATTATTAGGTTAGAATTGAAACTCTTATAAAACATATTTTTCAGTTGCAGTATATTGTATCTCTGTCAGTACTTTTGATCAGGGATTACAGGTCTACAGTGCTCCAGGATCAATTGTTTTGTAGGTTTTCTGATGAGGGGGTTCCCCTGCATCACAGCAGGGACGACTTCATCTGAGAAAACAATGATCTTATAGCATTCAAGTGATCACAGTGATGGAAAGTAAAGGCACCACGCTGACACTCATACATGGTCAAAAATGCATTAAATAATAACTTTTAGGTATATAATGTTATCATTATTTATACATTTTGATAGAGGAAGAAATTTATTCAGCCCATCAAACGTACCCAACCACCGGGTCAATTGACAAGGTGTTTATCGAATATCTTGCACTAACTACAATACTCGGACGATACTGTGGTTAAGGCATTTGTGAAGGGGGGTGGGGGGTGAAGCAGAGTACAGGGAGGTGGTGACTGCCTTCTCAGACTGGAGTGAGAGAAATGGACTGATCCTCAATGTGTCCAAGACCAAGGAGATGATCGTCAACTTTCACAGGAGCCTTTCCCATCGACCGATCACAGTAAATGGACAGGACGTCGAAGTGGTTCAGTCCTACAAATATCTTGGACCACAGACTGGACTGGTCAGCTCAGGGCAATGCTGTCTATAAGAAAGGTCAGAGCAGACTCATGCAGCCCGCGAAAATTCAATTTGGTAGACGTTAACCAAATTTACCCCCTCCAGGCCGGCTGTCATCCCCAGCCTATCGCTCAGCAGACGCCCCCTTCCAATCATCTGTACCGACTCGCAGCCGCATAAAAACGGAGCAACTCCCACTACCGGCCTCTGAAGCCTCGCAAAGAATCGTTCTGGACGAATCGCTTTTGTCTACTCACGCTTACTCGTGCGTGTCCCTGCTGTCCTCTGTCTTGCTGCGTGTGGTCTGCTCCTCCTGTGGCTGCACCTGCTGCGGGTCTCGTGCTGTGGTCCGTGGGTCTTTGCCGCTCTCCTCCTTTGCGGGCTCTTTCCACGGGTTTGCCGCTGCTCGTCTCGTCATGGCCTGCTGCTGCATACGGCCGGTCTAGCCCGGTGCGGTGGGAGCCGTGCGCATCCCTGCCTCCTTGCGCCGGTACGGTGTGGTCCCGTCGTGTTGTCCCTTGTCTTCTGGCGCCGTGGGTAAGTATGAGATCCGCGGACGGTTTATTCCCCTCGCTTTGTACTGCAGGCTCAGTTGGCCCCGTGCTGGTGGGCAGGCTTCAGTTTAAAGCCCTCGCATTGGTCTGCAGGCTCTCTTTAACCAAGCTCCGTTAAATCTTCACTCTGACTGCAAGCTCCGTTTAAACCCTCACATTGGACTGCAAGACCTCAGTTTTAATCCCTCGCATTGGACCGCATGCTCTCAGTTTTAATCCCTCACTTTGGCCTGCAGGCTCTGTTAAATCCCTCTCTGGACTGCAAGCGCTGTTTAAATCCCTCACATTGGACCGCATGCTCTCAGTTTTAATCCCTCACTTTGGCCTGCAGGCTCTGTTTAAATCCCTCCCTGGACTACGAGCTCTGTTTAAATCCCTCTCTTTGGACTGCAAGCGCTGTTTAAATCTCTCTCGGACTGCGGCTCCCAAAATGAATCCCTTATGTACCGTATCTGGAACTGCTTCATATGGAACTGCTTATATATGGAACCGCTATATTGGAACTGCTCATATGGTACGGTTATACCTGGAACTGTTATGCAGTACATGGAACTGCATATATGGTACTGCCTATATCTGGAACGCTATATTTTAAAAATAAATAAATGAATAAATAAATACATATAAATAAATATAAATAAACATAAATAAATAAATAAATATAAATAAATAAATAAAAAAAAAAAAAAAAAAAAAAAAAGTTAAACTCCTCACTTGGACTGCGGGCTCAGTTAATCCCTCACTCGGACCGTAAATCATTTGGACCGTAAAAAACCTGTTGAAATCCCTCACACTGAACAGCTACAACAACATTCTACTGCCGTGGCTTTGATACAGGATCATTGCTGTTATTATCTACGGACGCTGCAGCTGCTGCTGCTGCTACTGCTGCTGCTGCTTCTTACGGCTACTACTGCTGCTGCTGCTGCTCCATACTGCTACTGCGCTACTACTGCTGCTTCATTTACTTGCCATCTCTCTTCACTTGCATCTCTTTTACTGAAACACTGATCAGCTACGACAACATTCTACTGCCGTGGCTTGATACAGTATTATTACTGTAATCTCTAAGGATGCTGCTACTGCTGCTGCTGCTGCTCCTGCTGCCGCGGCTTGATACAGGTTATCGCGTTATTATCTGAGGTACTGCTGCTGCCGCTGATGCTACCGCTACTGCTGCAACCCACTCTCTCAGAAGCTTATCCTGGTTCTAATGGATGCTGCCCGGCTAGTATGCCGCGCCGCGCTGGCCTCGTACCTATGCTCCCAGGGTCGCTTCGGCGGTCATGCTTCATCTCTCTACCTAATCTTCTGATTCTATCAGATGCAGCCGGCCGAGTAGCTGCGCTGAGCCGTCAATCGGACTCCTAATCAAAGGCATCCATACCTGTATTCTTCACTCTTCTGATCGCAGGCTCCCCCATCATGCTGCCCATCCTGCAGCGGCTCTGAGCGGCACTGAACTCTGGCTCGTCTTCCAAGTACATGTCTGCCCTCCTCGCAGCATCTTCCTGCTCGCCTTCTATGGCTTCTCTGCATAAGCGTCCACTACTGCCCGCTCAACCTTCATGCGGTCCGAGACGCGGCTTCCCGACCATCCTACTATCCTGATTATCTACTCTCCGACCCAAGATTCTAAGCGTAAGGGCGCCTGCAACATCAATGGCCCTCTCCGATATGTCTCTCTGCCCCTATAGGTCTCCGCTTCTACACGGACGTGCCCCTTCCGTGGGTTTTGGGGGATTCTTCCAGGACCATTGGGTTGCCGGGCCGTGGCCGCTACTTCCACCAGAGCATCTCCTCTGCCCTACAGTGGTCGTGGCTGCGCGCCGTGGAATCACACGTGGCAGAGAAAGAGTTATGTGTGATAATCTCGATGTAGTGGAAGCATTACACACTCTAAAAAAAAATTCGCTATCTCAACTCAAAAAGTCAAGGCAACCGATTCCCTTCACTTTTTTGAGTTGAAGCGTCCAACTCAAATAATTAAGTTTTGAAAGTATGTTTCTCTAACTCATTTTTTTTTGTCCCCATAATTTATCATTCCTTTATTTCTGAAGTGATTTATATTCATTAGGGCAACAACAAAAAATGTGTTTGCAGAGCGCATTATATGTTGTGGATACAATGCATTTTTCTTTCCTTTCCTAACTTACTTATAACAGTTAGCTCAATACATTTCTTGTAATCAGCTCAATAAACTCTTCAAAAGCACAATGCATTTTCCCTTACTACTTAAACTCATTTTCTAATGTTATTAAGTAGTATTAATACATTACTTGTGATTTACTGATAGCCTAACAGTCACCAATAAAACAAATTATCAGTTCAAAAACATTTTATTAATGAATGCAGAACTGAAGAAAATTGAAATGGTGGACATATTTAGACGGTCCCCCCACTGCCTCCCCCACATGAACCAGTCTGTCCACATCACAAATGTTTGAAACACTGAAAGACATAATGTCTTAAACAATTGAATATGAACTGTACTTCTTCACTACTTTATACCAGATAAAAGTACCAATACTGCACCTTTTAGTCATTTTGTTTACTTAAGATTTGAACTTTTATTTGGCAAAAAGAGTTTTTTTTTTTTTATCACATACTTACACTGAAACTAGTATAATTTTCTTTTTGTCACAGTCAGCAATACTGACACATTAAGTGGCATTAGAAAGATCAGATCTGACAATTGAAAAACTGATCATCATAAAATGTTAAAAATTGTATGTGCTTAAAAAAATATTACACAGTAATTAGGTTCCATAGTCTGGTATAGTAAATGTTTAAAGGTCTACCTACCGAACTGCAGTAGAAAGCACAAAATATGACAGAAGCAAAGTTCGCATTTTTAAATTTAACAACTTTCAACAAAAATGACTTGTACTAACAGGAATGTTGCCAATAAAGTTTAGTACACTATGGGTCCGTGTACTTAAAGGTAATTGGATTTTCTTTTCATAAGCAAAAATTGAAAATAGAAAAACAAAGTATTCTCTTTTTTTTCTTTGAAATTCCAAAACAAAATGTTGAATTAGAGCGTTTTTTTATTATTAATTAAAAATATAAAAAATTCAGTTCAAAAACCGATTCTATGTTTATTTTTTCAATTTTAATCAAAAAACAATCCAAATATTCCAAAAGCAGACGGTTTTTCATGACAGTAAACCAGATTTCTGATGAGGGCCCATGGGAGGAGCTGGTGGGTACCACTCTGTGGGTGATTTGCTGCAGTGTTTCGGAGGTCTTGCACATTATGGTTTGAACCACTCTGGATCATGGGTCAAACCCGTGGGCCATAGGGGGTTGAGAGCAGCGCTCTGAGCCCACCGCTCCAGCTCTTGTATCCTGGGCTCATGGCCGCTAGCTCTCTGCGTCCTCTTCCCAAGGGCCCTCATCAGAAGTCTGGTTTACTATAGTGAAAAGCCGACCGTTTTTGGATTTGTTTGGTTGGTTTTTTGTATTTCTATTAATTATTTTGATTAAAAGTATTATTTAATTATTTTGAGTAAATAATGAAAATATAAAATCGATTTTCAAAAGTAATTCCTTAATTTAGTAATGAATAATTGGAAACATGCTCTGTATTTCATTATTTAGTACTTTAAGACAAAAAATTAATAATGTTTGGTTTTTCCATTTTCATTTTCCATTTCTGAAAAGAAAATCCAAATACCCATAAGTACACAAACTCCGATGCCCCCTTGAAGACATTTAGACTAAGAGCTTAGTTTTCAGACTCCTCACTCGCTGGGAGCAGGCTGGTGTCAACTCCATAAAGATGAGTTGCATTACTTCAAATGTGTACCTGTGATCCTTTGGAAATTCCATATTGAGTCCATACATAAGTCCATCAGAAGCAGCTCATCAAGAACAATGTCCTCCTCCAGCACAATGGCAATATTGATGACAGTGGGCTCTACAGCAGGTCCGGTGTAGTCCTTCAGAACTTTGACGATTCCAACCTTCATATCCTTGGCGATACTCTCAACTGGGTCCGTGTCCTGTAAAAACAAAAAGGCATTTATATTATTTCCTAAATAATATAAACTTAATTTGTGAGAATCCCTTGCTTACCAGGCATGTCCGAAACAGCTTGCTCGCAGTGTCCCGAACGAGTAAGGGTAGTCCCTTGAGACAGGCAGCACGTCAATGCTGGACTATGTTTGACACCTAAAACACAAAAAGAAGTTTGGCTTTAAATCTGAATTCCCATGTGATATGCTATGAAAAATATTAAAATGATAATAAGTATGTTACACTATCATAATAATCAAAAATTATGAAGGCCAGCGCTTTCACATTGTGTCTGATACAATTAGACTTTTCTCTAAACAACAATAAATTCTGGGTTCTCTTCATGAGTGCTATTGTACACATTTTAATGTTACAATCAAACAAATACTTTATTTTGGATGTTTTATTACTGAAAGACCACAACAAAGTAACAGACAAGTGTGAAGTGAAAGCAAAATTATACATTATTGTTATTTAAAAATCCAAATACAGAAGTTTCCAGCTCCAATAGCTTTTCTTCACTAAAAACATGCACAATAGGTCTGAATGTAAATGAGAGAGTGAATGGATGGTGTTGGAGCTGATGGTCCAGTGTGTTCTGGACTCTCTTCTGTCATCACCGTGTGTGGAATGATTGAAACAATATCTGACTCTGAATATTGTAAAGCGCTTTGGGTCTGTACCTTGGTCTGTAAAATGCACTATATAAATAAACATTACTCACTACTACTACTCAGATTGTCCTGTATTTTGCCCCATCTACCTTCACAATGAACTCCCTGCTGAGGAGAAGCAGAGACAGGAGGGTGGCCCATCCCCAGCCATAGGCACAATGTTAAAATGACACATCTCCTGCAGTGCACCCCCAGTGTCAAATATGGTGCTGTTGGGCTTTTCTTCAGCAGGGACAGGGAAGTATGTCGATGAGAAGATGGATGGCACAAAATACAGGACAATCTTAGAAGAAATTCTGCTGGAGCTGAGGCTTCCACATAATATTTTCTCATGCTGTCCTAATCCTTATGCAAGCTCATAATTTCTTTTATTTTTATTTAACAAAATGTATAATTTTGCTTTCACTTCACAGTTGTTTGTTACTTTGGATTTTTTTTACCGAAAAGACCACAAAAATACGAGAGTTCAAGCTGTACAAATACTTTTCCATTGCACTGTACACAAACAAGTCCAATTATGGTACAAATGCATTACCTGGCTGTCAGATACCTGTAGAAGGAGATCCATTTCGTTATGATAGGCAGCTTTTCTGGCCCGGAAGAGTTTAATCAGTCGAATGGAATAGGCATCTAGAGCATTCATGAAGGTATCCAACAGGTCCTTCATAGTAATGCGCATAAACTCCGAACAGATCTAGAAGGAAAAAGGTAAACTATAAAAGTGACACACTGAAGCATTACAAATTAATTGCCTGAAGAATAAAAATTACCTCTTCTTTACAGAACAGAGCTGGCCATCACTGCTTCACTTCCTTGAAATGTAGGACTTTTGTGAGCAAATGTCTTTGAAATCACAGTATTCACAAAACAAGTTTCTTAGATTTAGCTTTTTAGTAGTCCAATTGTGTGATCTGCTAAGGTGTGATATCAATGCGCACCTCGTCTTGAATGTGCAAACGTAGTCAGCGTGGATACATGTCCAGTAGAATCCTCTTTGATGCTGGAGACGATGATGTCTGAATAGAATGTCTTGGCTCGACCCCACAAAGTTGCAGAAAAGGCACTTCATAAAACAGCTAAACAGACAAACAAACAAAAAGTTTTAATGGGTAAAATAAACGTTGTTGCATGACCTATTACATATATTGCACTTACTGAATGATTTGAATAGAAAATATAGAAACAAACACACGGTTACATCAATTACATACTATAAAATTAGCCAGTATAATGAATGTATACCCAACTTCCAAATCAGAACATTTTAAATCAGCTTTTTCAGACGGAAAAGTTAGAAAGAGGACCACCCGACTCAGCCAATCAGCTTAAAGCATTATAGTGACTCACAGGTCTCTTTTTTATGTACACAAAATTGTTAATAAAAAAGGGGCACTGGATGTTTTTATTTTGGTGGCATTTATTGTTTGGTGAAATGTTATCTTACACGCAGTTTATTACCGTCTGCTTAGTCCGTGGTGCTGGTACCGTTCTCTGGTGTGCGCGGACATGTGTGTGCGTGTGCAATGACCGTCTTCTCTGAGCATAGAGAAAGACATTTAACAGCGCAGATGCACGGCGCTCAAACCTGACCATCGGGGCGCCTTTACGGGGCTTTACGATTACACCTTGGCAAATAAGTTAGGAAAATGAATGGTGTTTATGGAGCTGGATTAAAAGTACAGACAGACACGTGTAGCATGGCTGCAACCCGGTTCCCCACGTCTATTTATCAATGGCACAACCAAACCATGATAATCTGTGCAAAGGCTCGTCTCTCATAATGCACGAAAGCAGCATTAGTATTACCTTTGGATTTCGGACACCAAATATTGTGGCAGCGAGCGGAGACGTTTCTTTTTCAATGCGTCACACCGCCGCCGTAGGTTTCGTTTCAGTATGCGCGGACTGATACTTTAGGTAAAATAGATCCGTGTTCATTTGAAAAATCCCATTATCACAAAACACCCCATGCACTCATGCATGCACTACATAGATGGATTAGGAGTGAAACACCACCGATATAATCCATGACTGTATGATATTGCACCACACCACGAGGAAAGTTAAACTTTTGTGCATGGCTATGGCTAACTGCTAGTACCAACTAAGCTAAGCTAAGCCAAATCCGGTCGTTGCCGTGCCCGCGTATTATCCCTCCGCCCTTAACAAATGGGTCCTATTTGCCAACTTTATCCGACAAAAATTCACAAATACAGTTTGATTTTGATTTAAACCAGTGTGGCAATGACTACAAGATAATAATATAAAATTATCAATATTATTAAACACAATTTTGAATTAATAACGTTGTGAATGTTATCAAACGCATTGTATATTAACCACCATACACATATATCCTCAAATATAAGTCATCCTTAGTATATTATCAGATTAAAAGAAGAGAAAATAAAAAAATACTTACCTTGAAGACGACCAGAGTTTCCTCGCATGCTGAAAATGGCGGACAGAGGACTTGCAAAGTTTGAAGCTGTAGATTCTACGCATGCGTGGACATGGAAAATTCAGACTTTTTAGTTTTGCCAACTAATAATGTGACCTGTGGCCAACTTTTGGTCTTCAATGCATATACGTTTGTTGAAATATGGATTAAATTAAAGTTTACATGGCAATTTAAAAATTTGTGTTAACATGGAGTAAAATAATGAGTCATCTCAGCAAGCTCAAGTTGGATTTTTTACAGTGCACAAAGGTCGCTCTTTTCACCCAACTTAATGTCCCCTGACCATTTCAACCTTCATCTCAAACTTTCAAAAAATCAAAGTAGCCTGCAACATAGTAACAGCTCGCTCGGACACATCTCTCTGCCCCTACAGGTCCATGATGCGTTACACTCGCCTCCGCTGCAAAAAGGAGATTTTAACGGACCTCTCTTTCTCACTCCAGACATTCTTCCCATGACAGCAACCTGGTTCAGAGCTCAACTAAGATCCCTACTGCTCCTCTGTAAATTATCTCCCCAGCTCTACACAGCCCACTCCTTCAGGATAGGCGCTGCCACGCGCGCGGCCTCGCTGGGGCTCCCCCACACCTCTCTGCAACAGCTGGGGCGCTGGTCCTCTTCGGCTTTCTCCGCCTACATCAGGCCAGACGCGTCCGCCATCCTGGCTGCACAACGTCTACTGGCTTCCTCGTAAGCTCCCAGCAAAGCAATACAAAGCAAAGTAAGTGAACCTATAAGATTCTGGTGGCGGCACGCACTTTAAAGAAACTCTGCTGCAGCGTCTGGTATCGATCGTGATGCGAGCGCTCACGTCCCAGGCAGCGTCCGGTTGATCGTGATACGAGCACTCACGTCCCGGCGCTTAAAGATAACTCTGCTGCAGCGTCTGGTACCGATTGTGATGCAAGCGCTCACGTCCCAGTCAGCGTCCGGTTGATCGTGATGCGAGCTCACGTCCCGGCGCTTAAAGGCAACTCTGCTTCAACGTCTGGTATCGATCGTGATGCAAGCGCTCACGTCCCAGTCAGCGTCCGGTTGATCGTGATGCGAGCTCACGTCCCGGCGCTTAAAGGCAACTCTGCTTCAACGTCTGGTATCGATCGTGATGCAAGCGCTCACGTCCCAGGCAGCGTCCGGTTGATCGTGATGCGAGCGCTCACGTCCCGGCGCTTAAAGGCAAACCTGCCGCAACGTCTGGTATCAATCGTGATGCAAGCGCTCACGTCCCAGGCAGCGTCCGGTTGATTGTGATGCGAGCGCTCACGTCCCGGCGCGCAAAGATAACTCTGCCCGTTTTTGGGGATTATGCGTGCGAGCAAGCGCCGCGCTCAACAGAATCTCTCCCGGGCCTGGGGCGCCAAACATGCTCAATCAACAAACTTCTAACTGCATTTTCCCTCTTGGGTCTCTCCAAAGTGAAATGAAGCTCTTCGCGAAAGTTCACTGTGGTAGACCCGGCTGCTGCTTGCCCAGATCTACAAGCCTGCTCATCCTCGACTCATCATACCAGCAACGCCCACATCTAATCAACCAATAACCACCAGGACAGCAAGTTAAAAGCCGGAGACACCCACTTCCCAGCCTTCTGAAGTCCGCAAGCCTCCGCCGCCCCACCTCCTCCGTTTCTCATCGAAGCGTGCTTGCCTTCTGCCTCTGCCGCCACCAGTGCCTAGGCCCCGGGGGGGATTATGCGTGCGAGCAAGCGCCGCGCTCAACAGAATCTCTCCCGGGCCTGGGGCGCCAAACATGCTCAATCAACAAACTTCTAACTGCATTTTCCCTCTTGGGTCTCTCCAAAGTGAATTCAAAACAAAAATGCATCCTCACCTCCGATAACTCCATTATTGACAACGGTTTCTCTCTCTCCTCCGCACCTTTGACCTGGCGCGTGCACGGGAAAGTAGGCGCGGCTTCAAGACCAATCAGAAAGGAGGGGGAGGGAGCTTGGGTCGGTTTTTTTTTCAAATCATGTTCCTCTCTCTCTTTTTCTGACAAACTGCATACTATCACTTTAATGTTGCTTTACTTATCCACTTTGTCCCAGACCCTTTATGCTGCTAACATGTAGGGATGTACACACAACTATATATTACTTGCACTAGAATATACAGTAATTTATACTTGCTTCTTTATTATGCTAAAGTTAGAAATTTTATACTTAAGTCTTGCTCCTTCATCATGCTAAAGTTGGAGATTTTAGACATATTTCCTTTTTATGCTAAATATAGAGATTGTATCCTGCTTTGTTTTATGCTAGAGTTAGAGATTTCTTTCAATGTTATTATATTTTATTTTAGTATAGAGTTATTCTTTTATCCTGCCGTGTGCTTCTGTCTGTAACTTGTGATACAACACTGACATTACCCGACCGTGGGACGAATGAAGGATCTCTTAATCTTAATCTAACTGATGAATGCAACCTTGTATATAAATTCTTTTAGTTACTGGAAATTGAAACTTAGCCAGGGCGCTGAATACTGAAAGCAAATGTATTGATGGTTATCTTCTATCAGTACAAACAAAAGAAAATACTACTTTGTCTTTTAATTAGTAGCACCTGACATGTTTTGAACAACTGAACTCGGAAACATGCTGTGTGAAGAAAGGCATGAAGGGAAAAAAAAGTAATTACCTTTTTAGGAAGTGTTTGTCAACAATAAGTCAATTTCTCATTCCATTAGGCGAGCAGAGTGGGTGCAGGCGCGTTTTGGAGACAGCGGCGGTGATGAATGGGGCCGAGTACTGCTTTGCTTATCGCTCTTTTGTGGGACACATTCTAAAAAGCGCTTCTTTTACGTCTCCTGGCAGCTGAGGCGAGCCACTAAATTCAGTTCCGCTGTTGTCACGCCATACATTTTGTTCTACTATCTGGCAACCCCCACCGTTCAAATGCAATGCTTTAGCCTCTGCGCAAATTAGCAGACATTAGCAGGGCCCGGGGTTGAGTTACAATTCGTCATGTACAAAATCTGAAAGCATTACGGCCTCTTGAACCAGACATGATGGAGAAGGAAAGCCTATACAAGGGTAATAAGGCAAATGTGCTTTTTGTGAAATATCATACAAAAGACCTTCAGGGGAATTGCACTGTGGCGGTGTAACCTAATGGAATATTATCCATCTAGCACACTCTCTTTGCTACAGAGGGAGAAAGTCTGGTTCCTCTTATGGAAAATGTAATTCCATAAGCAAATGACTGACAGGTGAAGCAGTCGGTTGGTGTAGAGTCAGGACTCAGGGCGGACCACAGAGAGCACAATGTAATGTACGCTACTGATGTGTTGTTCACGAATGATCGGCTCCTTGCTGTTATTGTTTGGAATTACAGCTAGATGAACTATGTTTGTGTTTGCCCTTATATTTACTGGTCTTTCATATTGTTAGACCAACCTCCTGTGGATTCACCACCTGCAGGAGGGTCCGTGAGGGGCTGGTGCTTTGTGGATGGATGGATAGGCACATACAGTAGTTGATGCATTACACCAAAAAGTAATATTTATTTTTCCATATTCGTTGAACTTTATGTTGCATACGGAATTTGCAACCGAGGGTGCTACGAGGTTAAATACCAACACTGACACAGAAAAAGAAAAGGGAATGAGTACAAGACCTAAAAAGCTTCTTCAGCTCCACTGATCATATTTGAAGTATGACTTCACTTTGCTTCCACCAGGAATTATATTCCATCATATTGTAAAACCAACCATCTATTAAAATTAGGGCTGTCAACTGTTTTTTAGTTGAGTAATCGCACAGAAATGGTGAGTTAACTCACGATTAATCGCATTTTTAACATTCTATTTCAAATCCACTCCAATTGAAGTTAAATGAGATTATCAAATGTCACATTGTCATTCATACCAAAAATCTTAAATGTGTTTGATTTGCTCACAACCTTTTGCTTTTTGGCACAACCAAAATGAGCTCTTAATGAAAGGGGGATATTTACGTACCCCAGCTTTAATTCAGTGAGTTTTGTTTCAGGAGGAGACACGGACACTTTTGCGGTGTAATTGCGCGCATTGTTCGCTCACAGCCGCTTACAGCCTTGTTGTTGTTAACGCGGTGGAGGCGGCCTTCAGTTCACAGCAAACAACAGCCCCGCGGTCACGTGCGTATTCTTTTAAAACTTGAATTCCCAGAAGGCCTACCTGCTCTGATGCATCTCACCTGCAGCATTATGAGTGATATTATGGATAAATGGGCGGGTCATTTGGACATGCGTAAACACATTTTTTTACGTGTGAAAAATGTCATTAACGTGAGTTAACGCGAATATTTTGACAGCCCTAATGAAAATATTTTGTCCCAGCCCTTTTGTCCCAGCCCTGCCTTGTATTGTTGTATTGTGTTTGTATGTTTACATGGGCTCTACTTCATCATATCACTTATGCTACTATCTGACATTTTCTGTGTTTTTTATTTTGTATGCCCTGTGCTGCTTGAATGAATTTCCCCTGATGGGATTTATAAAGTTGTGGGTTTCCACTGGGTACTCCAGTTTCCCCTACCACTAGAAATATGTACAATATAGGTCTGGCAAAAGTTTGCTATATGAATAAAGATTTCTTACTTACTATGTCCCACATAATAAAACCATTCCATGTTTGCTAACTATATTTAGAGATACAATAAGACTCAACGACTGTAGCTGTGGGAAATTATTTTGATTATGGAGTACTGAGAAAACACATCCAATATGGCATATAACTTAATAAGTAGTAGTAGGCGACAGTAGCTCAGTTGGTAGAGCATTGGCCTCTCTCCGGAGACTTCTCTCTCGCTCACTTCCGTCAATAGAAGCAGCGTGACTTGTAGTACGGAGAGAAGTTAGTGCGCGGATGTAGCGCTCCTCAGATTACTACGCCTCACGATATAGTACCCGTTTTATCCGCTGAGAAAATCGACAGTTACATTTCTGTGTTACTATACTTTGCAGTGTAACACGTCACGTAACTATATACATTTAATAGGGAACACTTGGAGGAGTTTGGGGTACTTTTGGGTACTATACAGTATACAGAGGAGGCTGCGTTTGTGCTCC